GTCACATGAAGGGCACAATGGTTCGTTGACTTCACGGTGAACTTCCATCAATGGATTTCGATGAACTAAAATGGACTACACTGACTACACTAGACTGGACCTGTCACAGTGTAGCCTGTGACTGTGACCGAGCCCTGTTCACTGTCATGGAGCCATGTGGTTTGGAGTTTTCGCGACCGCGACAGCCGCGAATTGCTGTGGCTTGATTTGCTGCTTTGCTTCAAAAGGGAGCAGAGCAGCAGAATTGATCCTGCCGGTCGGTCGTCGGTCACATAGGTGAGATAGCTCTGATGATCAGTGTGTGTGGGTTGTTTTTTCGTTCTTGTGTCAGGGTTCATGTTGGTGGTTTGGTTTGTGTGACCACGATCGGGGGAATTGGATCTTGGAATGAATCTTGGAATGAAATCGTGCTGCAGTCCCGCTGGAGTGCTGCAGTCAATGTGGATGGAAAAACATGGGCGAACACTGAACTGCTTGGGTCTGTTGATCGGTACTGGCATTGGTATGGGCATTGGATTGGCGAAGTAGGTATAGGCAAATAGGAAGATTGAAGTTGGGGAGCAAACTGGGAAAACTTGGATAATGTTCCTGATAGCTTCTTGTTACTGGTAGCTACTTGCTCCAAGTAGTACGGCCAGGAGACCCTAGTAGCGCCCTTGCCAGGAGCCCCTAGTAACGTCCTTGCTCCTAGTAGCGATGCCATGAGACCCTAGTAGCGTCCTTGCTTCGTAGTAGCAAGGCCAGGAGCATGCAGTCAAACCATGTGGAGCTGCGGGGCGCAGTACTGGGCGCAGTCGGAGTCAGCGTGTTTGCAGGAGCTGAACAACACTTGGGAGAGCAAACACGAGTACAACGCTCAGGCAGGGCGCACACAGCTATACGGTGGTTTTGGAGGGTCTCCCGGCGTGATCACATCGTAGGCGATCGAACGACCCCGTTGTCCAAGATCTCAAATCGATCCGTACCCACTATCGAACAGCGCCCCCCCCACTTAAGTTGGGACGAGCAATGGAGGACAGCGGGGCTTTGCAACATGTTGTTGACTTGATTCTATGATGGTTTTTGTGTTGTGTTTTGAATGCTTGTGGTGAGCCTTGTTCCATGAATGTTTTGGTGTTGGTTGGTTCTTGTTTGTATACGTTGACATCGGGCATTTTGTACAGGAGTGGTGGGACACCTGTCCACAGGCCGGTCCCAAAACCGTTGGGTTCTCGGCGAGTGAGCCCAGTCTGACTTCGTTGACCACAGTCAATGGCCTCCTCAAGCTTAAGGGCTCTATATATATATATATATAATCGTTCAATGTGGTTGTTGTTCATGTGTCCGCACGCTACTGACTAATTGTTGAGGATCCCGGATGCCCTGAAGAATCGCTTCGAGGTAGATTCCCCCCACGCTGCCAAGCTGAAGTGGCTGGAACAACAAGTTGTCGACGCCAACACAAGTAAAGGTGAAAAGGGCTTTGGCAACAACACCAGCTTCAACACAAGCTTGAACACAGGCTTCTGGAACCGTGACAGTTCACGCCTACAAATACTCCCGCCCGGACAGCGTGCCTGCCACAGTTCACTGACCAGGACAAGCCTTTGGATGTGTCACATGCGAGCTTGCCAGCACAAGATTTCCGAAACTCACACCAGTGTGCCAACTGCATGAAGACTGTGGCAGTGATGTTCATTGTGCATCAGTAAAGCTCAGCGTGTTTAATTTAGAGTTGTGTTCATTCTGTACCTCTATATCATTCTATGCTTGTTTGTCGCCACGGGTCTGTGTGTTGAAGGCTGTGTTCATTTTGAGGCTGAGGTCTGTGTTTACTTGTTTCCTGATTGTTTCAAGTTCATGCCAGCTAAGTGGTTGCATGCAATTTAGTTTCAGTGCTTGCTTACTGATTGGCGACGATTTTTACTTTAAACTACTACCAAGGATCATGGCAACAGCAGTATACCCCCGCTTGACAGCAGTCAAAATTTGCCTCACAAACAGCTATGACTTGTGGTTGGTGAATGAGGGTGAAACGAACGCTGAGATCCAGGCAGGTGAACTCATCGGCTTCAACGTTGGATCTTTCAAGGAGTTTGCCTTGGGTGCCACGGCCGGTTCATGTCATTAACGTGCACCAACAGTAACATACAGTAATCAACTGGTGGAAGGTACAGGTTGTGTAGTTTCAACCAGTGTGCTTCAAAGTTGCTGAGTTGTTGCGCAATACAAACAAAAGCAAGTAGAATTACTGTGTTCCATGAACAGTCCATGAATGTTCCACCATCATGTTCTTAAAGTGACAACCACAACAATGTACACATGCGCGATGGAGATGGAAAAAGCTTGTACCTGTGTGCTGAAGTGTTGGGTTGGTGTTGCAGAGTTTTGAACAAACCAACACACAACACACTCCTGTGATCTGGGCGCCCGCACATGAAGAGCTGAGGCGTAGCAACAGCACCGCCTATAGATTCCCTGCCCTTCTTGGTTAAATATGATGCATGCTTGGTGGCTTGGGTGGGGAGGGATGGCAAGGAGTTGATTTTTATTGCAGACCGTGACATGGAACAGGCGCAGGACAAGTGTGGACAAGTTGTACGTCGAAGTTGTGATGTTATTGTTGTCGTAGTTGCTAGACCCTTTTTGTTCACCTCTGTTAGTACCTCTGTTTGGCACCCCGACAATGTTGGAACAATGTGCTTTCTGTGGACTTTACTAAGTTCTAAGTTCCGGTTTTGGCCAATGTGCAACAGTTGCTGAACTTCCATTACAAGATTCAACCAAAGCAACGGGTTCACGCTGTTGAACAAAAGCCTTTGCCCGGTGATGTCGACTTGCAGAATATTCGTGCTTCTCAGATGGGACAGCTGTTCGTCAAAGACGGCCAGTTGCCCAAGTTGCTGACCAACAAGCACTGTGCTGTGACCTGGGATGTTTGTGCCTAAGTCGGTGGGAGGTGTTGTAAGAACCTCACAAAGCGTGTCACACAAGTTGTAAATGCAGCTTGTTGTGGGTTATTGTTTTGCGGGTCAAAGGGGTAACATTGCTCAGGTGCGGGTGGACAATTCTGCTCCGGCTTGCATTGTGGGCGTCAAGGCCAAAATTTCATTGACAGCGCGTGTGTCACTCAACGCACGGACAGCATGTAAGCTGTCTTGAATTTTTCAATCAGGGATCAACTGCTGTAAAGGGTGGCCAATGCAATCACTGCTTGGACTTTTATGGTTCATGTCTTCATAGCTATGACATTTAGCTTCAACAAATGCAATGACGGTGGTTCCACTTGTTGTTGAGGCAGTGAGGAGATGGGGTAGCGGTTGCATAACACCTGGAAGTCGACAGAATAAGGTTTTGATAAACTACCGGCCAAGTAGCATCTAGATCCGTTGGCGCTTTGAGAAAAACAAACAACTGCACAACAACTCGTGGGCTCAGGTTGCATTTCCAGCATGCTTAATTAAGCGACAGCACATACTCGCTCACGCACTGCTACATTAGTTGCTTGGACCTGCAGCACCCCTCTCGCGTGCGAAGTTGTAGTGTAGTACTCGCCCTTTTTGGATGTGGTTGGGGCAAGTCGCCCTCATGTTTCAAGATTGATGAGGAGGCTGCACGGCGGGGTAAGAGCAGGAAGCCGAAACTAACACCGAAACCGAAGACAACAAAAGCAAAGCCGAAGGCTTCTGTAAAGAAATCTCCAAAGGCCAAGGCTTCTCCGAAAGCCAAAGCAAAAGGCAAAGCAAAAGCGAGTGCACAGAAACCACGAAAGGACAAATCAGCCAGGAATGAGAGGAGTCAGCCAGAAGAAACAAAACCTCAGGAATCTCAGGTAGACCCGCAGCCAGTCTTGAAGAAGCCAGCTGCAGCAGGTTCATGTCATGTTATGTTGTTCAGCCCTGAAAGATGATGCCTCGAGATGGTGTGCCAGACACAAAGTTTCACGAGATCGCAGCCACTTGTTTGCATTTACTGAACAGCCCATGTCAACGACAACATGTTGACACACACTTGTGCACAACCATCACCGCATGTCACCGCCCTAGCCTCATGTGTCAGTGGTTGATTTGCCCATGCGAGGAGTTGCTGAAGCAGGAGTTGCTGAAGAACAGGGGGGGATGCAACGTCAGCAGTTTTGATGAAGGTTGCGGTGCACTGTTTGTCTTGGATTCTGCACATTTGTGATTGAACAAGCAGTTAACCACTCAGTTAACCATGATGTTATGTCACTGCACTAAATGAACTTGCCAACTAGCCATTTGTAACCGCTTGAACTTGGCAGGATGCATTGCTTGATGCCGCGGAGAGAGAAGCATTGGAACCTACCACTAGGAATGCCAAGGATTCGAGTGATGACCTGCCCCTAGAGGGTGAGAAGAAGAAGAAATGGTTGAACATGATGAGAGCCTGTAGTGCCATAAATGGCAGTGTCAATTTTTGTGTAATAGCTTGCGCCTCTTGGACATGAGTGCTGGTGGCGATGGAGAAAATGAAATGCTTTGTGCACATGCAGCGTGTTGTTTTGTGTCAGCGGCTAGTCCTTTGTGCCTTGTGCTCACTCCTTGTTGCAAAGTTCTTGTTGTATTGAGTGTTTTGTTGCTGGTGGTTTGCACTGTTTGGTTTAATGTTGTTGATTAACTTGCATCATTCTTGGCACTATTTGAGCTTGAAAAACTGGAACCCTGGTTACAAACTGGAACCCTGGTTAGCTGGCAAAATTTTTATACACAATATATTGATATCGAGACAGTACCATAACAATACTCTTTTATTTGTTCTTTCATATGTTCTTTCAAGGGTTTACTGAGAGAAGATGGAGAGGGTCAACAAGTGCGGTCCAACTTGGGAGCCAACACCTTTGGGAAAAGCCCTGGGACCAGCCGATATCTTCTTCGATCGTTGGACTGGTTTGAGTACACTACTACAAACAAGATTGCACAGTTATAGCATGTTATAGTCATTGTCCAACCCACTTTGTGAACCTCTTGATTTTTCTCGATGCTGTTCTTGCCCTGTACCAGGTACTCTTGCATCGCTTCCACGATGTTGCTTGTCTCTCTTCGGCACCTTTTCCATCTTTCCTTCGATCAGAGATCCCACGTTTTAGGGTCTATACGGGAATTCTTTCCACTCGACTCGAAGCCACTCAAGATTGGTAGACTATCTGTGATCCCCCATAGTTTCCTGACCTGAAACCCAACCGAAGGTTGTAGCGCTGACCTGACCAAGAGCACTACGAATGTGACGAATACGACGAACACCACAAATGTCACGAACAATGCAAGTGTCACGAATGTGACGACCTCCGTGAATATCACGAACGCAAGTGTGATGAATGTGACGAATACAACGAATGTCACCAGCATCAAGAATGTGACCATCACAACTGCCATCAATGCGACAAATACCACCAATGCCACCAATACCACCAACGCTGTGAGTCCGCAGGAAGAGGGTGAGGCCGGCGGGAGAAAGGACAAAAGAGAAACGTGCCACTTTGTCTGGGGTAGTTCTTTTTTTCCTCTTATAGCCACTGGATCCTGTCAGAAAGGAAACCAGCTGAAGGCACAACAAACCAACTTCCAACTGGAATCTTTTGGGAGGTGTTCACACTGGACTCACCTCACCTGGACTCTTGCCATGTGTGTTGTCATTCTTGGGCAATGCCCGACCAAGTTTCGCATCTCTGATGCGTGGGTTCTTGTTTCGGAAAACCAGCTGTTGAAACGAGTGCAGACTCCTTTGACTCCAGGCCTTGTGCTTGGATCAGGGTTCACATCAAGGGAACAGGGCTTTGGGGGATGGTCCAAAAAAATATCGCTTGCAAGCAGATTGAGTAGTTATATAATGTTATATAATGTAATATGTCCAATGACTTGATATACTATAAGTAACTCTATAACCCATTGACGGGAACTCTCCATTATTCCTGTTGATTGTACAAGTTGGTATGATTCTTCACCCTGAGGTGACGGGTTCTGCCGGTTTCTGCGTGTCTCGGCATGTGTTTGTTTTGTTTAAACTGTGTCTATATTGTGTCGTTATTGTCTTCTTATCCAAGGCGTTCTTCCGGCGCTTGAACACCGGTTTCTTCTCCTGCGTTTGTCCGAGGAGAAGGAATGCAAGAAGGCCAATGCCAAGCAGCCCTGCTTCACCGATCCCACCTGCCCGGGCAAAGGCGAGAACCGCGACGCAGCGTCGATCACACGGTGCGAAAGAACAGCGTCCGATGTAAACCCGGCCAGACCCGGTGTTGTTTGTTGGGGGCCGAGTAAAAGGGTCCCTCCCTGGTTCAGTCTGCTTTGGAGTCTGTATGTCGAAGGTAAATGTGTCAGCAATGATCGATTTGCTGCGGAGCCGAAGAACTGTTCCGCTTCTGAGAGCGGAGAAGCAAACCCCATCGCCCCCGAGGCTGCAATGCTCTTGGGATCGCGCAACCTGTCTGGCATGTGAGTAGAGTAGCGATATATTTGGATAACGAGACTTAGCTATTTCACGAAGCAAGACTTCCGACATTCAATCGGACTGAGGCATTGTCGGTACTGCGAATTTGGGATATATGTGACTCGTTGGCAGAATCGAAATCTTTGAAGCACCAAGGCCTTCCCATCCCCAGGAAAGAATTTTGTAAGAATCTGACAGGACATGAGTTCTTTTCACTTTTTACTTCAGGAAGCAGTAACAACATCAAACCCATGTCAGACATGGTCTGATGTTTGGTACAAAAACGACTCATACGTCGGACCGAGACTCCAACGACCAGACGCTCGGGTTGGATCAGGCCTCGATCCCGTGCCGCAGCGTTGGACCTCCTCCCATCTCCTCCTGCAGTCCATTGGGCACCTTCCAATGTGGCAACCCGGTGGATGCAGATCCAAGGAACACGAAGAAGATATGATATATATATATACACGGTATATTTATGATATTGATATTATTGTTATATATACATATAGGTTTTATAGAACACATTTGCAGGAGTTGTGTGGAAATTTGGATTTGTATGAAACAGGAGTCATTGATTTTCTTGAATTGAATGGTTGTAACTGCTTCCTTCTGAACGGGCTGAATCTCGTCGAGACCTCATGCTGCCAGCCTCCACTTGACCTCTGTCAACATGTGACACGCAACAATCCAGAATTTACTATATATATATATACAGTAAGTATACAGTCCCTGGAAGAATCATAGAAGTGGAACATTAAAATGGCACCCTGCAAAGACCATTTTCCTCTATAAACAGGTTTTCCACTTCTCAGTGTGTCGACCTGGAGAAAACAAAAGAGAGGCCTTTGGCAGAATGTTTCATACCTTTGAAACCTTTGATCGCTTGGAGATGGTCCGCATCTCCGAGCTTTGCCCCCGCAGCCCGCGCCCGGAATCTAAGATAGCACTTGCTTCCGTGAGTCAGCAGGACTGGCTTCGTTGTACTCAAGCGCGGCTGACCTTCCCGCCGTCGGTCGGCGTCCAGCGGCGTCACGCGTCGTGCCACCTTCGCTTGCGCAGGACCGGAGACGAATGTGATCAGCCGGAAGGCTGGAGATGTGTACTTCGAGATCTTTGGACTTACCGAATTACAATTCTAATTAAATTCTTATTGTTACTAGTAGTAAGGCACTTGTTACTAGTAGCTTCTTGTTACTACTAGTAAGGCACTTGTTCCTAGTAGCGATGCACTTGTTCCTAGTAGCTTCCTAATACCGATCCAGGGTTCGGGCGAGGAGATCGCTCGCGTTGGTGGAATGCCGACTGGTGTGGTGTGACCCAAAGTGACACGGGTGAAAGATGTTGGAATTGAAGTTCAAATGCATTTGAATCGCTTGAAGGCTTCGTTGACCTCAGCATCTCTGCCGTTTCCCCGCTTCTTCGCACACGGTCATCAAGCACTTCTTCTCGACTCGTCGGTGTCGCCTGTGTTGCCTCGTTGAACGACACAGCTGCAGTGCTCCAAGGAATCACATCACAGCAGATGGCTTTGAAGAACAGCTGCAGTGCTCCAAGGTCACCTGGACGCGGCCGGGTGTGGATAGATCGTGACAAGCAAGCCACTATGGCTATCGGGTACCCCCCAAGCATGTTCAAACCCACCACTATTCAAGGAGAAACCACGAAAGCATGACTAAAGGGGACTAAAATCTGCTGGTCCTTGGTGTTGTTTTGAGCCGTCTTTTCCAATCTATGTACTGTAGTCTGTACTTATATTATCTTATATTGATGGAACAACCGAACATGGGGTGAACAACATGTCCAATCACATGGGTGTGAGGGGTGTGGTCAATTAGATCTTCTTCATGAAGTGTTGATTGCTGAATTTGGAATGGAGGGCAGACTGTAGTGGACCAGTGAAATGCAAGAAAAGCAGATGCCTTGTCCGTCGGTCTCCAGAAGTACCATTTGAAACTGAATGGTGGAACAAGTGTTTCTGGGAAGTTGGATCAACTTGATGTTTGTTGTGATGAAGTTGAACAGTTGAACACTCTCTTAATAACATCTTAAAACTGGGGCCACAGACCCCCCCCATGTTCACCTTGTACTCTTCAGTGCCTGGAGGTTCATGGCATCGGTGGGATCAACATGTACAGCTGCGTCACGGCAAAGAGACGTGAACGCCTCAGGCCGGGCGCTGTTTTGTTTGCGCACCCAAGGGCCGGGCGTGTTGTTTGTGGGGTGCCATTGCCATTTCCTGCTGTGAGTGTCCCTTCACTGGGTGCCCCTTTCTGGAAAAGTTTGGTTGTTTGTTCCTTGGTGCCGCCGGGCCGTTGGAAAGAAGATTGGCTGATGTATGTCGGCAGAAGCGATCTAGACCCAGACAAACGTGATCATAACAACGGTTGCAACGGTTTAGACCCTGCCTGCAGGAGGTTACTTGGTGGTGTAAATCTCTTCAGGGAGTCTAGTAGCTTCTTGCTGCTCATAGTAATGGCCTCCAACCTACTAGCAACCTAGTAGCTTCTTGCTACTATTATTACATATTGTGATACAGAGACACGCCACACCTTTTGTCTGCTGCGAGGAAAGCGAGCTTCCTGCAGCAGTTGACGTTCAGCGCTGATTGTAAGTTGTTTGTGAAGAAAGTGTGGCGAATGTCGCCGCAGCCCGTCGAAACGTGTACGGTGAGATGCCCTGCACGGCCAACATAGCCGAACATTGCAGGATGCTGAGTGTCGGGGCAGAGTGTCGGCGCTGCCCTTGCATGGCTTGCTTCGTTTGTGCGTCTTTGCTTTAGTCGAGCAACTCCTGCTCGGGTCTCTGTGTGAGTCCACTAATATAGCTTCAGGCCTGTTGACTCGGGCTGGAAATCTGCCATGGAGGTCTCCCTCGATCCTCACGGTGGGTTTTTGTTAAGCCCCTGCGAAGCCGCTTTTGAGGGTCAGCAGATCTGGTGAATCCCTTTGGCGGAAATCAACTTTTTCAGTGGCCAACGGGATCACTAATTAAGAAGGAAGTGCTGAAGGATGCTGAAGGTCAAACTGTGAGGCAATGTAAAAATTACATTCAGATGGATGAATCCATGATAATCCATGAATCTTTCCTGCACTTCTTGATAGCTGCACGCCTCGAATCTTTGGGAATAGCTCAAAGGAACTAGAAGAGAGTGCTGTGACAGCCAACGCTCGCACGCAAGGGGCTTTGAATGCCGTTGTACAGACCAGGAAGAAACATGAAATGGTTTGGCTGCAGTTGGCAAAGTGACCACTGGCAGCGGTGGATTTGCTGAGGAGAGAGCTAAAATCAACGGACCTGCCTTGGAGGACATGCTCATAGAATTACCATGAACACAACTGCACGACATGTGTTTTACACCTACCTACAGTATCCTACAGTAATTAATTTTAGTAGGTGATTCGGGTAGGGTGCACTGGTATGCAACGCCCAAGACTTGGTTGTTCAAGGAAGATAGGCCAAAGCCCGCAAGCCTTTCTGGAGAATTTGACTCGGTCACGGCCATTTGTCCATGGGTTTTGAGAGCCATGCAGTGAAAACGAGTCTAAAGCTTGATGACACAGAGATGTCTCGGTCAATTGGGTGGATCGCCCCGCAAGCGCACAAGCGCCGCACGAGGAGCTGCCAGAGAAGCCCAAAGAGGAGTCCGAGCTGCTGAAAACTGAGCAGGCCCGGTGGACCAGGGGCTGCATGTTTCGGTACCTGTGAGGAGCTTGCCATTAGACCCACCTGAAACAATCTAAAACAGACGTGACCAAACTCCGGAGGCATGTGACTTTTGAATTCCGTATGTTATCCTTTTGGTTTTTGGGGGATTTATTCACATCGCTTAGACCGTGAGGCGTCGGAGACTCCCAGCGGAGGCGCAGCACGGCACTTTTTCAGCGGATTTGTGTTATTCAAGGAGGGTGGGAGGTTCGGCAGCCCTTGGGTCGATGGCAGCGCCTTGCAGCAGGTCAAGAAGCTCAAGAATCTCAAGCTCAAGAACCAGTCGAAAATCCACCTGAGACCATAGGAGCAATATGTTCCAGCGCTCTGCTGACTGATAGAGGCTGCGTTGTGTGTCTACCAGGAGCTCCTGATGGTGTGCCGCGACGGCGGCATGTAGGTGGAGGAGCGAAAGGGGTGCCGATTTCAGTGATTTGCAATGGTGTCGTGATTGATTGCTCGAGTTTTATATTTTATAGATCTTTGTAGACGTATACATACTATACGTATCGTTGAATCGAAAGTGATTCTGAATGATTTGGTGACATGATCGATGGGGCCTTGACCTACTTCCATCTACTTCCCTACTTCGCGACGTTGACCTACAAAATTGTCTCCAGGGACACCCTAGGACACCTGTCTGGCTCACTTCAGCAAGCAAGAGATGTCATCCAGGTCTGTGACTTGTCTCCTTTCGCCGTGGGTTTTCCATGGTTTTCATGGGTCGGATCGCGAGTGCCCTTCACCCCAGTGCCCGGTGTGTCCTTCGGAGATCCAGGAGATCCTCCGGGAGATCCTGCGGCCCGAAGCGCACCGACGCATCGCCCTCGGAGACGGCGTGAAGGCCACGGGTGTCGGGGCGGTCTCTCCGGGTGCGTCGACGTTTGGTCTTCATGCGAGAGAGCTTCGCAAACCCTGGGAACCGAGTCATGAATATGTCTGAGTCTAACAAGCTGAAATGGGGCAAAGGAGCCATTCGTGGCTTTTCCATGGCTCTCACATGACAAGTCCTTCTCAGGCCAGAGATCCTTTGAAGAACAAACCTTGAAATGGTGCCGTTCGGACTTGTGCTAATATGCTGATGGTTGTGGCCGACAAATCTGCACTCAAGAAACATATAGATCATGCGATCAGTGAAAACATGTCCTTCCAAAACACATCACTGGACACATCCAATAAAGCCTTCTCATTCATTCCTCACATGTGGCCCCAGAGAAAGCATCATGAGAGAAGGACAAACACATACAAAATAAACTACAAACTGTATGTTGTGTTTGTGTTTCTTTCTGCGAAGTGTTTCTTCTCAGATTCTTGTGCAACCCCTGTTTCAGCCATCCGGCCAACAGCTGTTACCAGGCCTTCTTAGACCCTCCGTTCGCTTGGGACGGGGAACTTCCGGGAAAGGCCCTGAGCGGCAGCGACGAAGTCAGCAAAACGTGGTGATCCAGTTGCTGAAGCCGCCGTCCACCGGGCACGGTGCTCGGTGAGATGTTTTTTCTGGGACGTCCAGAGCCATGGGAATCCAAGCATATAATTCGCTGTTAGTACTTTAGAAGAATCACCGCACTCGGTTTTTTGCTGGGATATTTTTACTTTGCCAGTGGATCATTATCTAAACTTTAACTAGAAGACTATAATTAGATGGGATGTCAAAACACCTGTTTTGGTACAAGGGTTGATTGATGATGCACTTCAACTTTAGGCTGGACCCCAAGAGAGATGGAGTCCGGAATAGTCAGCTCTAGGCACGTTCTTCCCTCTGACCTCCACCTTACATGAAGAAGAGTTGCTCCGTGCCTGACCCGGCTTACCCAGCTTAGGCGTGGGCGACTCCTGATGTCTCTGAACCTGCTCATTGTTTGCGTGCTGGTCTTGCTGGCCTTTTGAAAGCATTTTGCATCTATATAAGAGGATTGTCTCTCGTATTGCAGTGACAGTTGCCTCGTCATCTTTACACTGCACGGTGCTATCGAATTGTGACTTACAGATCCGGGGTGGATTGCAAATGGGTGCGAAGCACACCCTTTTCTGCTTGTTGTGCCAGTTCTCCTTCTGCATTGTGCTGTTCGATGTCATCAGGAGCGTGGCCCACACGTCGTCGTCGTCGTTCGTCGTTCGTCGTTCGTCGTTGAACGACGTCGGGGGGGACACGTCGGGACCTTGCGCCGCAGGAATCCGCCCAGCCTCTTGAATCCGCCACCCGATCAGAAGGCGCCCAATTTGGATGTTCAGCTGCACTGCGGCAGAGTGGCGCCAGCTGCCTAAGGTGAAAGAGCCGAAGGTCTAAGGGCTGCAACTCAGTCACCGGTCCGGAGGCTGAGATTAGCATGAGCCGAGCTAAACCATGTGGAACAATGAGTTGGGCAGTTTCTGGACTGATGTTGGAAGTCTTGTTGAGGTGGTATGGTGTTTTGGAAAAGGTATTTGGTTTCTGGAGATGGTGATTCCCTCATATACATGAGCTTCTTGCTGGGCCCTAGGCTGCTAGCTGCTAGGAAACAAACCAAATTGACTGCACCAAATAACACGGAACAACCCAGTTGAGCCAGTTGTTGAGATGCTGTTGATGGTTCATGAGCAGACAGCAATCACTGTTTAGAGGTTCAGACCTGCGCCCCCCCAAAATATTTCTGTGGCGTTCAAGTTCTGTAGACTCTTTCTTAGTTTTCATCGATTTTGCATCCACTGGTCATGTGTGAGGCCCCCGGCCTGACTGCGCTGTTGAGGCGACCGGGCTTTCCCCGGGTTCCATAAACCTTGGCGAATGCGTCGTCAAAAGGCCGACACCAGCAGCCTAACCAGATCCTGAGATCCACCTAAGCTCTCATGTTCTATTCCAATGGTGCTGCAACAACGGTGTTGCAACAACGGGCGCGGCACAAGGAAAAATCATGTCATGTCGCATATCACCTGTTGCATCATAATGTGTACAAGTCTATTGGCTTGCACAGCTGGCAGTTACACATGACACGAGCTGAATGGATGGGTTTGTGTGGCAAAGTAGGCAAACAACTGCTTCACACATGGACATTCATCGCAGACGTCGGACAATAGGCACCATTGACAGTTCCTTGTTTTTTCCAATGTTTTTCGTAGTTTGGCCATGGAGATAGACTTTGCATGCCTTGACATGACCAGCTTGGCGTGGATTGCCGAGTCCTTGTTCGCCACACTTAGAATGTTGTTTGGCCCAGTTAATTCTAGACCATGTGCCCAGGGAATGTGTGAACAACTGAGTCGTGGAACATTCCGAGGGCAGAATCTGCCCAGTTGTGTGCCTTCCTCAAGTTTCTTCTGAACTTACCGCGTGCTGATCAACCTACTTAAACTGCGTACCCACTCACGCTGCTTGAGAAATAAAGTAGGCCAGGCGTTGCACAGCCAGGCCGCGCCTGAGAAGCACAGTGCATGAAACCAAGATCCAAAAGTCACCAAGTTTGGACAAGACACAATGAAACCCTCATTGCATCCCTTATATCCTGCTTGTCAACAAGAAACAGTATTTTGGAATACTACTTCTATGTCACTAGGCCATGGACCCTCTCAACACAGAAGGGTCTTTGCAGGTCAATCGCTGGATTCAGCCGAACCCATGGTCGAGTCTGTCCAAACATGGTCGCTCAAGGCCACACGGCCTCTGCGCTGATCAGGTACTGTAGGTCAAAGCACTGGCCTAATAGCGATGGCCTCCAACCTACTTGCAATGGCCTCCAACCTAC